TATTACGAAGGAGGCTTGCAGAATCTACGTGCTTGTTATAAGGAGAGGCTTTTACCAAAGCTTGAGGCTGGACTTCATTTTTGCTGTTTACTGCTTGTTCTGACCTGACTCTCAAAAGTCAACTAGCCAGCATTCCTCTGGACGCCTGCTGGCTCCCCTCCAACCTCCTTCCTCCCACACAGCCCCCTGGGAGACTGTTTACCCAGGATGCCCCCTGAAATCGCCATAGATTAACAAGGCTTTATCTGACTAAAAATTTATGAATAATACAATGCTCTGGGGATCTTAACCTTGTCTGTTAAAGCAATCAGAATTTCTCTTGTCAATTCATGGAGTGTTCAGTACTTCCACAGGAGTATTTTGTGAATCTTCCTGGATTGCAGGAGGCCATTCTGTCCTTCAATAAAACTCACTGTTTAATTTTATCCGATTCCAGTTTGCTCTCTGAAAATATCTTTACTATAGGATCATGACATTTTAATTTTTGATCATAATCCATTTCAACTGTAGGCAAAATATCTCTAATAAATATTTCAGAAGACTTCCCCAAGGAAAAAATGGAGTTTGTATTGAGTTTTAAATATTGTTTATGCAGACTAATAAAGCCTATCCTTAGTGTAAATTTCAGATAATTCCATATGTCTTGGAATTTTATTTTGGTTTTAGTTTGAAGACAGAAGGCAATCGCAGGTGCTATATTCTATGATATAAAATCCCATCGCTTTATGATAAAGTCTTTTTTAGCTGTTTAAATGGAAAGTTTTGTCGTGTATATCTGTAAGGAATTCGAGTGTGGATGAATTACATAACTTTGACTTTTCAAACAAGATAGGACTAAGTAAAAAGCTCTAGGATCAGTTAGCGATTAGCCTGAATCATAGGGGGACCAGGATGTACTCGATGAACATTTTATTCCATTGTTCATAGTGTTTAGTACGGTAATAGACTAAGCGCTGCGGAAATTGCACTGACTCTTTCCAACCACGGGGAAATGTTCGGTTCATTGCGCTCCCCTGAAAAAAGCAGCGAGATACTGGGAACCATTCGGACTCAGTGCTTTTTCATAATGGAAAGGCTAAGAGGCTTCGCTACTTTTCTTTTTAAAACTCATCTTTGTTCACTTACGAGTAAAAGAATTTCTCAGCACATGCGTGAGAAACATTTCAGGGTCGCAAAAGGAAAAGGGAACGCTTTTGTGGCCTTGGTGAGGCCAAGTGCCCCGTGGCCTCTTCCATCAGCAGCAACCCGCTCCACGGTGGCACGGGGCCACGGACCATCCCTGCAGCCGCGCGTGGCTGCGGCCACCAGATGGCAGTGGCCCGCAACCAAAGGGGAACCACGGCCGCGGACCCTTTTAAACCCTGGGAAATTGCCCTGCCTTCCGAAGGCAAGGGCCGCGGGCCCACTGCCCTCGGCTGCGCGCCCCAGTCGAACCACGCGCGGTCCATGCTGGGTGGCTTCCCTTCGCAGACTTGCTGGGCGACGCGCGCTGCAGGTGCGCCTCCAAGGTGAGGCGTTGTGGCGCAGAGCCTCAGGCGCTCCCGGGGGCGCGCGGTCACGTGGTCCAGGATGAGGTGGCGTTCGGCTTTAAGGGGGCGTCTCTCCGGAGCTCGCTCAATCTTTGGGGTTGGAGCCGGAGGGAACCCGGCCCGTCTGCTCTCCGGGCTCTGCTCGCTTCGGACCACCCCTCCCGCTACTCACCAGGGAGAACAAGACGCGTCCCGGCGAAGGTAAGTTCCAAGTTTCAGCGTTTGAATGGACTTTTGAGCAATTGCTTACCGATGGCATAAAGGATGGAAGAGGGAAAAGGAACAAAAGGGAGACGGTGACCCGAAACTAGCATCGGGGAACTGAGGCGGCGCAGGGACGGATGTCCAGAGATCGACGGCTCCGGGAACCCAGCCCCGGGCTTAGGGAAGAAGGTCGTGGCGTTTCCGGACCTGGTTCCGGAGGGATTTCGGGCGATCTCTTAACACCAGGCCAGTGGGCTGGAGAGGAGCCCGTCCTTGTACCCGCACCCCGTCTCCGCCTCTGGAGCGGCTGCACTGCCACGCCGGAGTTCCCGCCCAGGAACCGCCGGGACGGTCTGGCGAGGTGGCTTGACCACCTTGGGCCCCCCGCCGCCCGCCGTGGGGCGCGCTCCCCAGCACGGCGGGCTCCCCGAGCCTGCGCTGGAATCAAGCCCGCTCCCCCAGTGCACGGTCTTTCCAGCTTGAGCCCTGACCTCCTTTTCCCGGTTTTTAATCATCGCAGCCTGTATTTGGCTCGTCCTTTGGAACTCCAGTGCTGGAGACGGGGGTGGGGGGTGGGGGGTGGGCAGCTGGTGTCCCGTTGGTCCCCAGGGGGACAGGATAGAGGCAGTGGTTTGAAGAACGAATGCTGGGCCAGCGGGGAGGGAGACTGCACACGGGTTTGGGCTCTGCTTGCTTTGTTTTCGGCTGGTGTGGGTGGCATCGCGGCAGAGAAGGTCCCTGAGAGAGGGGTGAAAGCCTCTCTGTTGGAGGGACAAGGGGTGTTGGGCACGGGAGGAACTTTGGGCCACCCCCCCCCACTCCCCCCACCCCCGTTACACAACGCAAGAAAGTGGGCGCGTAGGTGTGCGCACAGCAATTGTGATGGACCACCGTTTCAGTTCCTTCCTTGGATAACTTCAGGACCACAGGGACTCAGGGAGACGCTCCACTTGCGCGTTCCCGGGGGAATTCACGTGGCCGTCTGCGTTCCGGGAGAAAGCATCCCTTTACCCGCGGCACATGCAGGCTAGGGACGTCCAGGCAGAGCCGCAGAAGGAGCAGCCGGCCGTGCCAAGACCAGGCTGTTTAACTGCCGGGCCGAAGGCAGCAGAAAGCGCTCAGCTCCAGTACTCCATCCGTGGCTAAAGGCTGTTTTTCAGTGACGACGACTTTACGAGTTGCCTTTCCTTACTGTTGAAGGCTGTGAAAGAAGCCCTCCTCTCGTGCAGGGAGGAACAATGAATTATGTAAGCCCTTTAGATAAGCCCGCTGTCACTTTGGGAGGCTCTGTGTAACCTGAGCATTTGAAACATTTCTTGGCAGCGGGGGTGACGAGAGCACAGTGTTTTCAGGGCCTGCAAACAGCAAGCAGTGAAAGGCCATCACGCTGTTTGAAAAGGAGAAGGAAATTTCCCTCTGGAGAAGGCGCATTTGCCAACTGGTGGTACAGCTAGTCTCTGCCTTGTCTCTAAGTGCACGTGCTAGCGTTACACTGACAGCTGACAGCTTCAACTTTCCCGCTGCCGATAGCTGCACAGTTTCTTTTAGAAATATAGTGGATAAACTACGAATTGTAAAAGTTATCCTCTTCATGTTATATTTTTTTGGACAATTATGTTTTCTTGAAAGTATACAAAGGTAAGGAGGCAACGCACATTTTATCAAATGTAGAAGTGTTCAACCAAACAAGAATGATTACTGCACTTTGGCTTAACAACAGAGGCTTGCAAACACTTTTTTAAAAAAAGTTTGTATTTTCTCTAACTAAATTAACTTCCTAGTAGGAAAACTACTATTGCTCACAGGGCATGCCTATCAAATATAAGGTATCAGAATAGAGTTTCATTATATTAACCCAAACTCATTATAAGGATCAATCTCTCTGGCCTACACATTGTAATACTTTAATGTGTTTGCATTAATTATGGATGTATCACTTTTGTCAAAGTAAGTCTGATTTGCTAAGCGGTTTTCCTTTCTACTGTAAACATCTTGAACTGCACCCCATACTCACTCCTGGGTTAGTTTAGGGCTGATTATAAAATTAAGCCACCATCATGCCTTCTTACACCTTGGCCAAAGAGTCCCTATTGGCTCTTCATTTTTAAAAAAAATTATTTTATTGGGGGCTCATACAATTCTTATCACAATCCATCCATACATCCATTGTGTCAAGCACATTTGTACATTTGTTGCCCTCATCATTCTCAAAACCTTTGCCTTCCACTTTAGCCCTTAATATCAGTTGCTCATTTTCACCCTCCCTTCCCCCTCTCCCCTCCAGGCTTTTCATTTTCATCAGTCAACACTAAAGAACTGCGAGAACTGTATCATAGCATGAGACCTGATACAGTTTGTGCCTCCTCACTTTACTCTTTTAATTCATTGTTTCCTACTCTTTCCTGGATTCATTCCCCTTCTCATCTCTGCTTAGCACACCAGTACACTCAGGTTCCAGGGGGTTATGCTTGTTCTTTGTGCTCAGACAATGCTCTTCTGAGATAGCTACACTGCTTCCTCCCTCACCTCGCTCAGGTTGTGATTGGCTCTAAGCCAGGGAGAGGGTTTCCCTTACGTCCTACTCATAAATTGCAACCCCCAACAACCTCAATGCCCATTTCCTGCTTTGTTTTCCTGCAGAGCATGCCCTAGAGAAATGGTTCTCAACCTTCCTGAGGATGCCACCCTTTCATACAGTTGCTCATGTTGTGGGGACCCCCCAACCATAAATTATTTTCATTGCTACTTCATCACTGTAATGCTGCTACTGTTATGAATCGTAATGTAAATATCTCATATGCAGTATGTAGTTTCATTGTTACAAACGGAACATCATTAAACATAATTAAAGCATAGCGATTAATCATAAAACAATATGTAATTATTTATTGTGAAATATTTATGTGTTTTCTGATGGTCTTAGGCGACCCCTGTGAAAGGGCCGTTCGACTTCCAAAGGGGTTGGGACCCACAGGTTGACAACCGCTGCCAGAGAGGTTGTGTTGGGCTGCTAACCACGAGGTCAGTAGTTTGAAACCACCAGCCAGCTCTGAGGGAAAAATATGAGGCTTTCTACTCCTGTAAAGAGTTACGTTCTGAATGAATCAGAATCGACTCAATGGCCATGAGTTTGGTTTGTTGTTTTTTTCCCCACATACTTTTATCTTGTGCTAATGTATGTTGTATTTTCTCCCTCCTCCCACTGCTCCTGTCTTCACTAAGCTCATGCCTGACACAAATAAGTGTTCAACCAAGTCCTCTTACTCCAGAAAACATCGAGATGGAAGCTCTGGTGGCATAGTCAATTACTAGTTGGGCTGCCACATGCTGTGAAGTTTTGTTTTGATGAAACATACCAGGAGCCTGGATGGTGCTGTGAGATAAGCTTTGGACTGCTCACCATAGGTTGTCAGTTCAAAACCACCAACTGCTCTGAGCGAGAAAGACCCTTTCTGCTCCGATAAAGCCTCAGAATCCTAATATAGGATAACTTGAAGTTGGAATATGCTTGATAGAAGGTTTGTAATAAAGTATATAAGGGGTGTTGGTGTCACAGGGGTCAAGCACTCAGTTGTAGCCTGAAATGAGAGCCATCAAACCCACCAACTGTTCCCTAGGAGAAAGAAGTGGCATTTTGCTTTAGAAGAGATGAGAGCCATAGAAACCCTGTGGGACACATCAGGTCATCAGGAGTCATAACCCACTGCCTGGCAATGTGTGTCTGGTGTATACACAGCCTCGACCTATATGGTTGTTTGCTGATGAATCGATTCTCACTCAGGGTGACCCGATGTGTGCAGAGCAGATCCTTCTGAAAAGCCTCCAGGTGGGTTTGAATGGTCAAAATGTGGCTACCGTTTCCCCGAAAGTAAGACATCCCCCGAAAATAAGACCTATTTACAGTCTTACCTCTCGCTGAAATATAAGGCATCCCCCCGAAAATAAGGTCCCCCCAAACTACTGTGACTCTGGCTCTGGACTGTAGCGGCGGGCACTGCCACGCAGCTCACTGTTGGCCGAAGCACAGCGGGAGCAGACAGGAAGTGTGAGATCTCTTAATAAAACCATAAACAATAAATGTGTACTATATTCTTCTTCATGGAAAAAATAAGACATTCCCTGAAAATAAGACCTAGTGCATCTTTGGGAGCAAAACTTAATATAAGACATTATCTTATTTTTTGGGAAACAGGGTAGTAGTCCAGGACTTAAGCCATTTGTGAAACTTGGGGGTGGGTGGGGGGTGATCCTGTGTTATGATTGAGAGGATTTGAGAGACAAAATGAACTTTTGATAAATGTGTAGAGTATGGATTGGTGGTGAGACAGAAAACACCAGCAATGGAATTGGGGGCTCTGGCCAGGGCAATGCAGAGCATAGCTGTGCTAAAAACAGCCGGGCATATCAGCAGAGCTGTGACAAGACTAGCTTCCCTAGACCAGGGTACTCACTTTGGAGCAATTAGAGCAGAGTGGAAGGCAGAGGGTACTGGGATGCTGAAGGGTGTGCTAAATACTCCACATCGGGTGTGTCTTCTATCAGGGTACTCATTCACCTGTTGGTCCTTGGTTACAGTGAGCCATGAGAAGGATCCTGATTCAGTTTTAATTTAAATGAAGGAGGACAACTCACCGTTAACTTTCTATGATGTTTAGTTTTAATTTTTCTTGAATTCTTAACACAGTGAGAGACTTCAAAGGACTTTCAGATTATTACTTGCTGCTGCAAGGTTTGCTCTCAAACTCTAAGAGGCACAAGATCATTCTGTGCTTAGTCTTGAGCGACCAACTATTGAGTACCACACCCTAATCAGGAAGTCCCTGGTTGTTTCATAACGATGGGAGAGCCACATTGCCATTACGTAGCCTACTCTTAATACTGTTGTTCTGACTTCAGGAGAGCAATCTTTATTCTTTTTTCTTCTTCAGTTTTATAAGGTTAAATTGTGGTTTCATAATAAAAAGTATCCTCTATTGCAGAAAGCAAAAGCACCCATGGAGAGACTCATTAGAGGGGCACTTAGAAGGCAAATGCACTTTTTGTTCATTGAATTTCTGATTTCCCTTCCAAATGGAAGCAGATCTGCATGATTCTGCATTGTTCTCACTTATGGGAGACAGAAATGAGATTCGGTTTCTTAACAAAAGCACCCTGGTTAATTAACATGAAAATCACATCTCCTGTTTAGTTGGGATTCTAGAGAGACTCGGAGCATTTTTTAAAAAAGCATTTTTGATCTCTACAGACTGATGTGTGTGATTGGTCTTGTTAAGAAGAGAATTCATGTTATGAAATTTAGATCACTACGGTGGACTGGCAGATAGTCTAGTGAGAGGAAGGTTGCTGTCTGACCGAATCTCAGAAATCTTCTAAAAGAGCTTCAGTCATTCCTCTGAGCCTCCTACAGAACGCAAGAATTCCTCACAGCAATCTGTTATCTAATGCTTATAAACTTTTGATGCAGAACATTTGCGAGTTGTACAAGCAGTTTGTTTTACTTGATTAACCCCCCCGCCTTTTTTTTTTTTACATCTTCATGGAAAGCCTGTTTTTAATAGTGTGCATCCCTGGATCCTACCTCCATGTGTGTGGGCACCCAAATCTGCAATCTCGTTCACACTTCCGCACGGCATCCATTCCAGTCGAGGAACAATGATGCCATTTCCACCGAGTCTCTATATGTGGGATTAGACATCTAGTTCTTCAAATGACCACGTTTTTGATATTTCACTACACTGATCATGTCCATTTGAATAAAATGTTGCTAACATCACCGTAACTAAAGAACGGTTTAATATATAGTCGAGCTGTTGATACACTTGACTGCTTCACGGATTTCTTCATAGCAATCATAGCAAGATGTAAATAATCTGTTTGGTTCTACCTTGTTTGTTGCTAGCTATCCTCCGTATAATTTATTATATTTTCATCTGTCCATTAAGTTGTCTGTTATACATTCGTATTTTGAATGTTCAGAAATGTACTGATAGTTCTACTTATATATGGCTTCAGATATTGGATTGGATTGTTGTGAACCACATGCTCAGCAGTTTGAAACCGCCAGCCACAGTGAGGGAGAAAGATGGGCTTTCTGCTCCTGAAAAGAGCTGCAGTCTCAGAAGCTCACCAGAGACAGTTCTACCCTGTACCCTACAAGGTCTCTCTGAGTTAGCAACAACTAGATGCCTTTGCGTCTGGTGGTTTTTTTCTTTATTTTTGTATTTGAAGCCTTACAGAAACTCAATCTGCAAACAAATCTAATTTGAAATATTAATTTGTTCCCAAAATGATTGCACTGCTTTTGCTCTTTAGAAAGTTGCATATTCAGATTTTACTTATTTCCATGTTTTCATTTTAAATAATCATATGAATCAGCAAACTAGTAATGCAATTGGTCATTTTCTCTTCACAGATTATTCCGTTCCCAGGGATAAAGAGTTCAGAATAATTTTGGTGATGGATTCCAACGTGGGGAATAAGAATAAGCTGAACATTTGACCTGCTTTGAAGAAGCATAATATACATTGGTCTAAAATAATTGGTAACAAACAGACCATTCAAAATGAATGTGACAGGAGTTTCCAAGATGGAAAATCATTCGGTGCATTATAATTTTTCGGAGAAGTCCCAGTTTTTGGCTTTTGAAAACGATGATTGCCATCTGCCCTTGGCCATGATATTTACATTAGCTCTTGCATATGGAGCCGTGATCATTCTTGGGGTCTCTGGAAACCTGGCTTTGATCATCATCATCTTGAAACAAAAGGAGATGAGAAATGTCACCAACATCCTGATTGTGAACCTTTCCTTCTCAGACTTGCTAGTAGCCATCATGTGCCTCCCCTTCACCTTCGTCTACACAGTGATGGACCACTGGGTCTTCGGTGAGGCAATGTGCAAGCTGAATCCTTTTGTGCAATGTGTTTCAATCACGGTGTCCATTTTCTCTTTGGTTCTCATCGCCGTGGAACGGCATCAGCTGATCATCAACCCACGAGGGTGGCGGCCAAACAATAGACACGCTTACGTAGGCATCGCTGTCATCTGGCTCATGGCCGTTGCTTCTTCTTTACCCTTCCTGATCCACCAAGTCCTGACTGATGAGCCATTCCAAAACGTAACACTCGATGCGTTGAAAGACAAGTACGTGTGCTTTGATAAATTTCCTTCGGACGCTCATAGGCTGTCTTATACTACTCTGCTATTGCTGCTGCAGTATTTTGGCCCCCTCGGTTTTATATTTATTTGCTACTTTAAGGTAAGAAAACATATTTCCTTGGCCATTTCTGTTTTTGACTCCTCTCCCCCAAATTCCTCTTTAAATGAGTGAGTCTATTTGAAATCTTTTATTTTCTCCCCGCACCCCCTCTGTAGATATATATACGCCTAAAAAGGAGGAACAACACGATGGACAAGATGAGAGATAATAAGTACAGGTCGGGCGAAACCAAAAGAATCAACCTCATGCTGCTCTCCATTGTGGTCGCCTTCGCCGTCTGCTGGCTGCCGCTAACCATCTTCAACACCGTCTTCGATTGGAATCATCAGATCATTGCCACGTGCAACCATAATCTGCTATTTCTGCTCTGCCACCTCACCGCAATGATATCCACCTGTGTCAATCCCATATTTTACGGATTCTTGAACAAAAACTTCCAGAGGGACTTGCAGTTCTTTTTTAACTTTTGTGATTTCCGGTCTCGGGATGCCGACTATGAGACAATAGCCATGTCTACCATGCACACGGATGTGTCTAAGACATCGTTGAAACAGGCAAGCCCGGTCTCGTGTAAAAAAATCCAAAATGATGAGAATGAAAAAATCTGAAGCTGCTTGTAACCTGTGGTCCCAGGTGACATCGGTTAAAAACAAGCACAACCTGTCGCTCCCAAGGAATGGGGCTGGGAGTGTTTGGAAAAGGCCAGGAGGTTGTTTTGCGTGTTGCTTTTGTGTTGCTTTCAGTGCTGTTATTGTCACTGTCATGACTGCATTGGGAACAAAAGGTACAGGATTTGGAATCTTCTAACAATCATTTTGGTGACCTTTGGAGGGCTTTTTGTAAATGTATGCATACCACAGGTTTCTATACAGTATTTATTGTAATGACAGATTTTTAAGTATTACTATTAATGTAGAAACACTGGCCACCCAACACTCATGTACACTGCCAGTGCATTGGGCCATGCAGATTTAATGGTGGGCCTCATTTTAGCATTTGACGGCAGTGACAGCATGCAAAAGCAGTGTTCACGGTAAACAAGTGAAAAAGGGTTTATGTCCCTAGTCCCTGCAGCCTGGAGACATTCAAGAGCGATCTTTTCTTTTATATATACGTACATATGCATATAAATTTAGATACAAAGTATATATATGTATGTAAATTTATATCTTATAGATGTATGTGTGTGTATGGTATATAATAATTTTAAGAGTATTTAATTTGCCCTTAACGATTACCACAAAACAAAATAACAATGCATTAAAGACTGCTTCTCACTGTGAGCATGATGGGGAATCAGGCTACCCATGAGAAATGAGGGGGCAAGCGGTTCCCAAGCTTTAAAGTTACTGTGGTAACTGACTAGCAGGGCATCTCAGCAAATTAACTTTCTATGTAAATCAATATGGCTGCAAACAATTGAAGTGTATCATCGGAGTTGGTGGACAAGAGGCATTCCATTCTTTACAGACTGTTCATTTTGTCATTCTGTCTAGCGTAAACACGCACGTGACTCAAAAAGCCTGTTCAACAAACAAACAAACAACTAAACGTGTTTTCAGTATTTCATTCCCTATGTGGAAATTCCCTTTTAAGTGTCAGTGTCCATCCTGCGAAGCAGAGGAGACAGCAGGCGACATTGTTGCAAGAGTGTTTATGCTGGCCTGCTGGAAGAATAAATATCTGCGAACACTTCATTTAGTTTATGTGAACTTGTACAAATAAAGTGTGCCTTTTGGAGCTTTATACATAGTGTACTCTGTCGCGTACTGAGGAATTGTGTCGTGGTACTATACATAATTCCATGTAGCTTGTATTCAGATCATTTGAAGAAAAAATGCTTTAAAGAACACCTATTTTCGATGTATTATGCTAAGTGTTCTATGTGCATGAATTCAGAAGGACAGATGTTTTCTTGATTAAAATGATTTTTCCTTTTCTGCGGAGACTGCTGTCACTTATTTTGGAGGGGATACCCCATGATCCCCCTCCCCGTATGTTCCGGGCATCTTAGACTTGCTGTCCCATGAAGTCTTTCTTCCATGTGATCTGACCACATAGCCTTCCTATCTGCTCTGCTTACTAGATTGTAAGCTCCCTGAAGGCAGGAGCTGTCTTACATGAGTTGTTCTTCCTCTTGTGTGTACAACAATGTCACTTAGATAAGGTGACCAGGTTTGAACATTGGTAAAGCGGGACACCATTGATAAAACTCAGATCCTGGCGAAATAGCCACATGGCAGCCCAAAACCGTATACCCTAGCTTGTCGTGCATTCCTTCCAAAAATCAGGACTTTTTTAAAACGCTGTGGGATGCGGGAAAAATTGGTAAAAATCGGGACGTCTGGTCACCTTATACTTAGAACTTGTTCAAAAGATGTTTCTCCTACAGATGAAAAAATAGGCAATGACCAAATCGTCGTCCTTTCCATTTGTGGACATTATGACTTTACCTTCGGAAGTCTTCTGAGCCTCTTCCTCCTGTGTTCTTCTTTATCAAGGGAGGCTTGCTCTCTCTCTCTTTTTTTTTTTTTTTGCATAATTTTTGCTTCAAAACGAAACAAAAATTACATCTCAGAGTTTAGTCCTTTAAATGATAAATCACGTTAGTAAAACAAAGATTAAACTTCCTACACTGAATGTTAATTCAGTTAAAATTGAATTCAAGTCTGTAAATGACTTTCAGATAACTATTAAAAAAATACATCTGAAACCAACTCTTAAAAATCCCTGCTTAGTAGGAAGTACCACCCACAGTTTTTCCTTACCACAATTCTCAGTTCCTAACTGCTTGGCATTTTTCGGCTGTGGCGACTAATGGGAACTGCCGTCTTTCTCTCTTTAGGTGCCACGACACCACTGCTGCTGGAGAGCAGCCCAAACGTGTAGGTACTTCTTGTCAACACGTTTGCTGAGATTGCCTTTTCCAGGATTTCTGTTCAGTTGTGCAGGCTGACGGTTCCTTCGCTTTCCATAAGTAATTAACGGAATACTAACTGCTCTTATTTAAAGATGTCCGTGAGCTAAAAGTCAAGTCTAAGGCCAAGAAAAGATGCTTTGGAGTTAAAGAAGAAGCAAATGCTATAGACATTAGACACAAACTGGGAAATCATTGGGTTTTCTTAAACATGAGCAAAAATTAACTATTGGTTTAGAAGAGCATAATTTTAATGGGATTAACATATTGAATAATAAGATAATAGCTAGAAAATTTGAAGCACCTTCTATGCCAAGTACTAGGTTAAATACTGTGAGGTTGCCATGACTAATATTTCCACTTCATAAAAAAGGAAATTAAAGCTCACGTTTTAATACTTGGCTGAGCCACACACTTAATTGTGAGAAAGAAATTAAGCTCAGCTCTTTGCAGAGCTGCTAAAACAATTCCTAAGCCAGATCATTTCAGAAACTAAACGTGTTTTCTCCGGTCATTGCGCGTTATACTATTCGAGTGTGTTAATGCTATTTATCTCCCCTGCCCCAGATTCTAGCAACAGAAAGGAATAGAGTGAAGTATAAAAGTTGAGAAAAAATGGCCATTATGATCATGAGTATCTATAATTCCCTTCTGAATTACAAGACGTACTTTAAAAATACAACTTGATGATTACTGTCCGTGACAAAGTAAGGAAAGAGTACTATAAATGCAAGTTATATTATAACTTCAACACTTGACAGTGAAAATAAATGGATCATTAGGAAGTATTTTTCCACACACACTGCAAGTTGTGGAAAGGTGTGAGGGTGAACTGGGAAGCGAGGGCAAAGTCTGGATTTGTGCCCTAAGTACAGTCCAGTGGCTTTATGGCACTGCTAAGTCTTTCTTCACAGCCCAGGTTGCTGGGCTCAACCAAAGTTCTGCTGAAGTTAACAGACATTGTCCGTCTGCCTTTCTTCTTTATCTCCTTATTCCCACAGTCCAGCACCCAGTATGCCCGTGGATGAAGAGTCGGCCGCGTGAGGACGGGAGCACAGTTGACTAGGACAGTCAGTGACATCTGCCAAGTTTCATTCGTCTGTTGACGCTTGAGTGTTTATGTGCATGCATATGTTGTACATGCCACGTGTTGTATACATGTGAATCTAATATGATAGGACAGGCTAGTTTGTGTGTGTGTGTATCAAAACAAGCCCACTGCCATCGAGTCAATTCTGACTCAGCAATCCTTAAATACAATCTACAATAGAGTTATATGTGTATATCTAATACATAGAGAGGGTATTATATGGATTGGCATAATTCTATGATGGGTGTTTTTCCATTTCATTATTTCTTTATAAATAGCTTTTACCTGTGATCGTACGAATGTTTCTTAAAGTAGCACTATTTTTTCTTAGTAGATACTTTGCTAACAGTTTTATTGGCATATCAATCACATATCATACAACTCAGTAGTTCAGTCACATCAGGAAGAGTTGTACCAGCAGCTCCACAATGTTTTAGAACATTTCCTCATTCTTGTATTCATCATTATTAGCTCCTCATTTTCCCACAACCTTCCCTGCCATTCCCCAAGCAACCATTAATCCAGTTACTGTCTATTGATTTGCCTATCCTGGATTTCATGCATGTAAAAACATTAAAAAAACCTAAACAATAGCAAAGCAAAACAAATAAAAACCTCAGTAGAAAAGAAAGCAGGCAATATTAAAAACTAGTACAAACACAAGGACTCAAAAGGGAGATGAAATTGAAGAGTGTTACACTGTAACCTAACAGCATCTACAAGAATCCACTTTCCAGTGCATTCTGCATGATAGCAGGGCCAGTCACATAGCTGATCTTTTGTTGGAAGGGAGTCACGGCGTGTAAGCCGCATGTATTTCCCCGGCATAGAGTAGTACTATTGTCATCCTCATTGCTCAAATGAGGAAGCTGAGGCAGAGAGAGACTCTGTAACTTCCTCCAGATCGCTCAGTCAGTGAATGACCATCAGAATTTAAATCCGGTAGTTTGGTCTAAATCTTAATGTGATGAGGCTTTACCTAATGTGTATGGTGTCCGAGTAGGGCAAATGGTTGTCAAGCTTGTCTTCTAACTGAGTAAGTACAAATATCAGCTATTGGAAACCTCGTGGAACACAGTTCTACACTGATACACATAAGGTCCTCGTAAATCAAAGTCAACCACATTGAAATGGATTGTTTTATATAGTCTAACCTTCCTCATCTCCTCACATGCCAGCTTCTGTCTGAATTCGTCAGCTCTTGCCTCTCCTATCATCCTGTTATTGGGTTCTTTTGTGTTCCTTATCTATAACCCATGCTTGCCCTGGTGCTAAACAACCTAGAAAGATAAATGAGAGATGTTCAAAGCCATCCTCCGAGTTCTCAGACAAACCCCTTATCATGGTGGGTTAGGCATCATTGTAGAATTGAGATTCAACATCATTCCGCTGAAGAATTAAGCCTGAAAAGATATTTTTCCTTTCTCCAGGACTCTGCCCTTGTGCCTTTTTCTTTTAGACAATCCCGAACAGCTCTTTTTTTCTCAGCCAATGTCTGAATTATCTTCCAGGATAATTTTCCCAAGAAGTGGCTGGGGCTTGGAAACCCATTAATGTCGATCAACCGCATTCCTTGGAGGCTGGCGTGTTATCTGGCCTTGTCTCATATGCTAGCCAACGGGATGCTCAGCCTGTGTCTGACTTAGAAATCTTGAACCCTGGTTGGATTCCAATGGCCAATTTCACGTGCCTCATT